GGGGGTGACGCGATGTTCGACTAGAGATGTGGGGGTGACGCGATGTTCGACTAGAGATGTGGGGGTGACGCGATGTGGGACTAGAGATGTGGGGGTGACGCGATGTGGGACTAGAGATGTGGGGGTGACGCGATGTGGGACTAGAGATGTGTGGGATGACGCGATGTGGGACTAGAGATGTGGGGGTGACGCGATGTGGGACTAGAGATGTGGGGGTGACGCGATGTGGGACTAGAGATGTGGGGGTGACGCGATGTGGGACTAGAGATGTGGGGGTGACGTGATGTGGGACTAGAGATGGGGTGATGCGATGTGGGACTAGAGATGTGGGGGTGACGCGATGTGGGACTAGAGATGTGGGGGTGACGCGATGTGGGACTAGAGATGTGGGGGTGACGCGATGTGGGACTAGAGATGTGGGGGTGACGCGATGCCCACACTGTTTGTGCTGTGCAAGCGATACATTGTCCGAGTCCAGTTTAGCCAGTGGTCACTCTAATGGCTGAATCTCTGAAGCTGCGGTAAGCCAACCTAGAAGCTTCAGCTGTGACCCTCGTGGCTCTATTAGCTACTGCAGTGTTACTTAGGAGCGGCTCAGCCAGTCACTTAGAAGGGTAGGATTTCCCCCAATCTGAAGAGTGAATAAAGCCAGTATAACTCAGGGGAAAATACTCATGTGAAAAACTAGCGGTGAGCAGGGGGAAGTCTTTGATATATTGGGGCAACGAAAGGCCATAGGGGTGAAGTGGAGAGAGATTGAATACACAGGAAAAAGAAGAGTTAAGTAAAATATTGAGATAATAAAGAAGAAGGTACAGTGATGGGGATCACCAGTAGGGCTAGTAGAAAGGATCACTCCCAACAGGAAGCCACCCCAGAGGCCTCCTCTCCATCATTTTCTATCATGCACCCCTGCTGTCTTCCGGCCTGTCTCTCGCCAGGTCTCCTGCCTTCTCTTACTATCATGACTTTTCCAGTATCCCCTGTCTGTGCAATCTCTGAAGCTCCAGTCTCATACTATTGCCTGCAGCCCAGCAGTGGTTTCCCAGTGCTATCACATCTGGTGCCAATCACAGTAGCGCGGACCCTAGGCTCCTTCCAGTCCTGACCTCTGCCTTTATTTTCATTTTTGTTTAATGAATGCTGTTTTAAAAAAAAATGAATACTATTTTTAAAGGTTACTTTCCATTTACAGTTACTTCAAAATGTTGCTTGTATTCTCGGTGTTGTACAATACATCCTTGAGTTCATCTTACACCCAGTACTTTGCACCTCCCACTCCCCCACCCTTTGGTTCCCCCCCCCCCACAGATAACCATTAGTTTCTTCTCTGTATCTGTATCCTCTTTTCTGTTTTACTCACAAGTATGTTGTATTTTTTAGATTCCACATATGAATGATGTCATACAGTAATTGTCTTTCTCTGTCTGACTTATTTCACTTTGCACAATGCCCTCCAAATCCATCCATGTTGCTGCAAATGGCAAAATTTCGTTCTTTTTTTATGGCTGAGTACTATCGCATTTTGTGTGTGTATGCAGTGTGTGTGTGTGTGTGTGTGTGTGTAGCACATCTTCTTTATCCATTCATCTGTTGATAGACATTTATGTTACTTCCATACCTTGGCTATTGTAAATAATGCTGCTATGAGCATTGAGGTACATGTTTCTTTTGGAATTAGTGTTTTGGGTTTTTTCTGGATATAAGCCCAGGAGTCTGACCTCTGACTTTCTATCCAGCCTTATCGCCTATCATACTTTCACATACAATCTTCACTCGAGTTATGTTGAACAACTTGTCTCTAATGGGCCAGGCAGACCAGTCTACTATGTATGGCTGTATATACCACACATTTAACATTTCCAGGAAGTGCCATACATACTACTAATATTGTCAACCTGTATAGTTATTAGAACTATTTTCTGGAAGGTGGCAGTAAGCTGTCTTATTCCATTAAAGTTAATATGACAGTTTTGTGACAAATAGAAGTTAAGCACTACCTTGAAGAGAGGGTCAGTTTTATAAAAACTTGAACAAAGGTGTGCCTCAAATCCTTGTCTTAGTTCTTTTTGTTTAGAATGTCCTTCAGCTTTCTTGTCCACCAGCAAATTCCTGCTCATTCCATGTAAGGAAACTCAAACACTATCTCTGTATCTCTTCAACTGTGACCAGGTATTTTTTAATAGCTACCCGTCTCAGGGTCTGGAAATACATGTGTGCTTATCCCTCCTCTGAGTTGTCTGGTGGTGGGTTTTTCATACCCGTCTTTATTCACTTGACTCTGAGTGAGCTCACTAGGTGTTCTGGATCAGAGGCAGACTCCTTATCACCCCGCAGTGAGGAGGAGCTGCATGCTAGCCTTTCCCAGCTTGCCCTGGGCCTTACCCCAGGACACAGTGAAGAAAGCCAGTAGAGGTTTTCTTACATAAGTGGCCAGATACTCTGTAGACTAAGGGACAGGGAAAAGTAATTTTTGTCTGCTTATGAAGGTAAAGGGCTTAGCTGTCCCCCTCCCTTTCCTGAGAGGGTCTCCTTCTTAGCCCAGATGTCTTCAGCCTCAGGGCCTCATCCTAGCTGACATTTAAATAACTAGAGAGATGACCCTCCAGTCTCCCCAGCATGTTCAGAACCAGCCTAGGGTCCTTTCCCAGGAAATAATTTTTTGCTTTGGGGAAGATAAGAGAGGTTTTATGAACCCTTTGGATTATAGCAGCAACAGATCTAGCCCTTATACTATGAGAAAATGTATCTAGAAAAAGTGAAAGAAAACAGTCTTGATAGTGCATACATTTCTATGGCTTAGGAGGCTGGAACCTCATAGGAAAACAAAAAATAAAAAATGTATGTGTGTGTGAGTCGCTCAGCTGTGCCCAACTTTTTGTGACCCCATGGACTGCAGCCCACCAGGCTCCTCTGTCCATGGGATTTCCCAGGCAAGGATACTGGAGTGGGTTGCCATTTACTTCTCCAGGGGATCTTCACGACCCAGGGATCAAACCCGGGTCTCCTGCACTGCAGGCAGATTCTCTACCAACTGAGCTCTTCCTGTTTCCAGAAGCCTACATGAGGAAGGCCCCATGTCATAAAGGCTTCTTCTGATTCCTTCTCCAGGACACACAGCTTTTGTCACTTTGAAAAAGTTACATAAATTCTCCAAAACACAATTTTCTAATGTATCACATTGAGATAATAATAGCTATTTTTCAGCATTTGCTGGAGGACTCAAGAGATAGCACATGACGTGTTAGGAGAGCATTCCCCAGATGCCTTCCATTTCTCTGGGAAAGGGGAAAATGGAATCCACAAGAGCTGAACGGGGTAGAGAACATCTGAAATCACCACCGTGGGAGGTGGAGAGTGGAGTTCACATAGATCATTGGACGACAATGGTTTCTTGTGGAGCAAGTCTGCAATTTTCTCTCTCTGGCTTGATGCTGAAGGAAAGTAGACCCTGAGAAGGACACGCAAATGACCCTTTCTCCCAGGATTCAAGTGCAGTGGTCATCAAGGCTGTTGCTTGGGGCTGTGAACATATATTCTGCCCTTTTCCTATTTTCCCTACCCATATAAATACATGTTTGCAGTGGAGGTTTGTTAAAATGAGCACTCAATGACATCTTGAATAGGAAAAGATACTGGGTGAAGTTTCAAGAAGGTCTAACACCATGCTTCCGGAAATGAGAGGCTGTATATCCAAACAGAAGCCTGAGGTTACATTTGGTAATAACTGGAAAATATCTCTCTCACTCTGTCAACTGCTTCTATAATCTGCCTGAGGTCTTCAGTTGCCTAGATACATCATATTTGGGGAGAAAGGTTGGAAGGGAGTAGAAACAAAGTTCTTTGTTTTTGTTCAGTTCCCCAGTCATGGCCAACTCTTTGCAGGCCCATGGATTGCAGGGCACCCAGGCCTCCCTGTCCCTCCCCATCTCCCAAAGCTTGCCCAAGTTCATGTCCATTGCATCGGTGATGCCATCCAGTCATCTTATCCAGTGACACCCTTTTCCTTCTGCTCTCCCATGTACAAAGTTCCAGAACCTTGGAAAATGTTAATGATTGCACAGAACTGTAAAGGATGGAGGGTTCAGTTATTGTACTCCCTCTACCTGTTGAAAAAGCAACCTGCTCAGGGGCCTGAGCATCCCTGGACACACCAAAGATGCGGAGCCCAAACTAGCCTTTACTGGGGTCAGTTCTCAGAGCTGGATTTGCAGTGAGCAATGCTGAGCAACCAATCTCCCAAACAAAGAACTGGATTGCTTACCAAACACTGTGAAAGCAATTCAATACTTCTTGGCTGTGACAGAAAACCACTGTATACGCAGCACCCAGCTGGATCCCTCCCCTTAGACCTCATGGGGTTTGGGTTAACATGCTAACGCCACTTTGACACACTCCTCTGTCACTCCTACAGGCATATTCTGTTTTCCCTTGGCATCCATGAGACAGTAGCAGGCTCCAGTCTCTTCACATGTCCTGAAACTACTCACCTACCTGAGTCTCAGCATTATTGGCATAACTCCACCTCCCTGTGCCTTTCCTGCCATGGAAGGAAGCGGAAAGAAAGGATGAGTCAAGTAACAATAAACTTCTGAGAAGGTAAGGAAAGGAAGGGAAAGGAAGAACACCAGTTTCTCATAGTCCTTCTCATTGTTTGAAATTATATATTATTTTGTGTCCATCTCTCCCAGTAGTATGCAAGCTCCTGGAATTCAGGAACCTTTTGATTTACCACTGTACCTTAATGGGTGAAGTCTTGGAATGTTGAGGCTTGACAAGTATTTGTTGAAATAATTAGCCAGTTATCTGAGCCCTGAGCTACCAGTTGGGGTGAATCAGTAGTACTCATAATAGAAGTCTGCTCTTGAGCTGAGTTTAAACCTATTCGTCTTGCCTCTGTGAACCAGTGCCAAATCTTCGTGTTCCTACAAGGTTTTTTAAAAAGTTCTTTAAAAGGAATTGCCCCCCAAATTATTTTATAATCACCTCAATCACTAAAGGACATCCAACATGGGGAAAGAAAGAAATGAACTCTACAAAGTGAGCGACAATTTGGTGCTAGGTACTATGGTCATGAGTTTGAGTAAGCTCCGGGAGCTGGTGGTGGACAGGGAGGCCTGGCGTGCTGCAATTCATGGGGTCGCAAAGAGTCGGACACGGCTGAGTGACTGAACTGAACTGAACTATTGTCATAGATACTTTGCTTCTGTTGCTTCATTTAATTCTCATAACTCTACAAGGTTAGTATACTGATATGTATTATATATATGTGTGTGTCTGTGTGTGTGCATATATATATGAATATATAGGAACTTAGACACAAAAAAAAGTTATATAACTTGCTTTAGGATAGATAGCTACTAAATGGAATAGCTTTTTTTTTTTCCGATTTCAAAACCCCTCCCCTATTTGCTATGGCATTGCATAGAGTTATAATACTTTGCATCTTGTATTATAGTGAATAGACTTTCCAAAATAATATCTAGGATGTGTATCAGTCAGGGTTTGGTGCAAGCAGATACAATTCTAAATGTTTTAAGCAGGGAGGTGTTTAATAGAGGGTGCTTACAAAAATCCATGTCAGGGTTGAAGAAGTGAGTTAACAGACGAGGCCTGTGAGAATGAATAATTCCAGCACATACAGAGTTGACCTGTCAGTGGAGCTATTACTGCTGAGAATGACCGGAACATGGGATTCAAGAACATCACCCTGTGATAGGAGGTGGAGTCAAAAAGCTACTGCCCTCATAGCTGCCATAAACTGCCTCTTATCTTCCAGGAGGCTGGGAGGTTGAGTAATGAACTATGGAACATTGCTCTAGAAGAAAGTTTCCATTAGCCTAGTTATAAGAGAAATACAGTCATAAGTGGTCAGGAGTCTTACCTCGACTTCCCTTGTGTATTCTAAATCTTGCATGAGTATATTTAACTGACAGACCTAATTCATATCCATAACTCTTGGTACTAAAAGTCTGGGACATGTTTTAAGCTTCCAGTCTCTGCATTATGAAAGCCTCCATAAGAGGACAGTAGACTGGACACTGAGTGAGCCACCCTGCAGTCCTTACCCTAGGCAGCATTTGGGGAAATGGAAATACTTCCACAGGGAGAATGGGTTAAAATGTTCAAAACTGTCTCTGGCCAGGAAAGCTTACATGATGTGATTATTTATTTGAACTCCAAACTCCTAACATGCTCTTAATGACTATGATTTATCCTGGGAAAATAGTCCCTGTGCACATTAAGGCCAATTACATATCTAAATGTACACATATCAGAAATGAGAAAATTATTTGCAATGTGGGATCATCACTTTCATTTTTCTATAGCCCTTTGTTTGCTGGCACTGTTATTGGCTTGAATTTTGAGAAGGGGAGGCTTATTTCCAGCAAGCCCCAGGCCTTTCTCTGGATTCTTCCTGGCTCCGACTTCTCATATGCCAACACAATACTCAAAGAGGAAGGGCTTAGCAGTTTAGTACTCTAAATCTTCAAAGACACTTAGCACATCCAAACATTTTTACATAGAGGCCCCAGAGAAGCAAAAAAATGTGCCCAGGATCTCACGGAGACTAGACCAGAAGCCAAGTTCTCTGGCTCCCTGTCCAAAGCTTTTTTTAATCACAACCTAACCAAGCCTTAGATTTTTTTTTTTTTACTACTTATTTATTTGACTATGCCAGATCTCATGTGCGGCATGCCGGATCTTTAGCTGCAGCATGCAAGCTCTTAGTTGTGGCGTGTGGGATGGGGTTGCCTGACTAGGGGTGGAGCCCGGCCCTCTGCATTGGGAGCGCAGAGTCTTAGCCACCTGAGCACCAGGAAAGTCCTTGTGTGCTTCTTAAACACAGTGATATTTGGGGGGGGCGGGGCAGGTAGAGAGAGAGAGAGATTCCACTCACATCAAGCTTAATGCAGGCGAAATGAAGCTGTACTCTTAGGGTAGTATACTTAGATGTGTAAGTATGAGGCAAAGCAAGCAAGTGTTAACCATTGTATCTGATTAGTGGTGGAGGTGGGGAATTGTTACTGGAAAAAGGCACGTGGAGATTTCTAGGGTGTTGACAATGTCTCAGGAAACTCAGTTTTCTAGAACTTAAGCTTTTTTAAACCCCAGCATAATGTTTTTTGACTTTTTTGTCTTTAATAACACTTAGTTTTAGTACTTACTGTATGAAAGAGGCAGGCTAAGTGCTTCCCACAGATTATTTCATTTAACTCTCACAAGAACACTCTAGTAGAGGCACTATTATTATGCCCATTTTTATATCTGAGGGAACTGAGGTACAGTCCTTACAAATCTGTCCAAATCCACAAAGTTAGGTAGCAGAGCTGGTGTTTGATTCACCTGACCCCAGTGTCAGACACTTCACTACTCTGCTATTGCTAGCCACAAGAAATTTGATGGATGAGTCTAATTATGGACCCCTTTATTGTTATTATTTTAGTCATAAAAGTTATAATTATGAAAATCATATTGATAAGAGAAAAAATATAGGTGCAGAATTGTACACATGCATGCATACATGCACAGAACATGATTGCATCTATATTAAAAATATATATGCTTATGTATAGAAAGACCAGAATGTAAAACACTGTTAGGATGATGAAAATATAGGTATTTTTTTGCCTCTCTTCTCTGGTTTCCAAATTTATTTTAAAGTAGCCATATTAACTTTATAATGGGAAAATGTGCTGTAAAATAAACTTCCCATTTCCCTGAAACATAAAATTTCATTTCCACACTCTTCTTTCCTGCAGCTTTGTGTAATCTTTTAGAAGCCTCTTCTGTTCAATGAGTAACTTCATTACTAAATTGATGGCACCAGATCATTCTAGCTATGCAAATCACAGACCCACAGCCAGCTCAGGAAAAGGCGGATAAAAGATTACATTAAAAATTAAAGCAACGTGTGGAGATGTGGAGATAATGTGCGTACAATTATTTCTACGTATTTAATATTTATGCAATTACAAAGCCAGTCACGACAAATCTTAAATCTTGAGTCATATTCCTTTTGCCCTCTGATGTTTTTTGACCTTGAACCGAGACTGCCAAATATATCTAAAAAAGAAATGGCTGTGGAAGAAGCATTTCCTTTGGCCTATAAATGATAAATGTGTTTTTCTTAGAAAGTGATCTCATTTCTTCCTAGCCTTTCTTTGTTTATTTTCCGTGCCTGGTATTTTTTTAACTCTGTTACATTCTGATCACCCTGGAAAGTGCTGGGCCTTCAGTCTTCCACAGTTTGGCTGTGTTGTTCTCTGGTGCTGCTGCTGCTGTGATGTGTTTTCTGTCAGAGGAAATTTACAGGCACATTAGCCTACTTGACAGGCACAGTGAGCCACCAGGCTCTCCTAAGGAGAAACCACTGCGTGCTGTGAGGAGGCTTTCTGCGTCTCTCCACCTCACCCTCCCTCTTACACCTCAGAACCCCACCACGACTCAAATACAAATCCCTGCCACTTGTGCTTCAAGGTGTTGCCTCGGATCCTGGAGTTAACTGTCTGGTTCCCAGTAACAGCTGTACATCGGTTCTGCATTTATTAGTTCATGTCTGCAGCAATCTGGCCCTAGTAGTTTGTGGGAAAGCCCATGTCTTCACTCACAGCCATGTAGATGCCAAGTCAGGAACGGGTGGGAGCGCTTTTGTCCCCATGGTGTTACCCTGACACAAGGCAGGGAGGAAATCCAAGGTCTCTGCAAACGGGAAGCAGCACCGTTGCATTTTCCGGAAGGCATGTAGAGAGAGCATGCTAAGACACTTCATTTACTTTCCTCAGTCTGTCACAGAAAACCGGCCAAGAAAAATCAATAAAACTTACTAAAAACTCAAAAACACAAATTGAGACATGAATGAGAGGGTGAACTGTTTCCTTGGCAGATTCCAAATACATTAGACTGTTGCCCTACAGCCACTGGGAAACCAAATACCTGTGCATTTTTGGTTTCACATATTATGCTACCCCTCAGGGCGAAATTTGCTGAGATAGAGCAGTTCTGGTACTGCTGGATCTGGTTCAACAGGGTGTGAGCATTCAGACCCTGACTGCATGTCACTGTCTCTTCAGTTTAAAATTTTTCAGACCTTTTAAATAATTTTTGAAGAGTGATCTTATTGTGATAATATTCCCTTTGTCCTTGGTATGTTTGACCATAAGCATGTAACTGTGTAACCTATAGAACTTCTTTAGAAGGATGCTCCAAAGTCACATGTAAGTTTCTTGCTTGATTATCTGCCGAGAAGCAGAGATATTTACTAAGCCAATCCATCATACTGGCCTGAGATGCTCTATTTGTTGAACGAATAAATAAATGAACGAACTTTATGTTATCTGGACACCAGGACTAGGTAGCTTCCTGGTGGATTTATTTTTTAGAAAATTTACTAGAAACATTCTTAGTTTGGCTTCCCTGGTGGCGCAGATGATAAAGAATCTGCCTCCAGTGTGAGAGACCTGGGTTCAACCCCTGGGCTGGGAAGATCCCCTGGAGAAGGGAACGGCTTCTGGCAGTATTCTGGCCTGGAGAATTCCATGGACAGAGGAGACTGGCGGGGTACAGTCCATAGGGTCACAAAAAGTCAGACACGACTGAGCAACTAAGCAACAATAATGACATTCTTGATTTGGTCTTGTCCTAGTCAGTTCAAGTTTCTATAACAGTATCGGCGAGGTAGCTTATAAAGCACAGAATCTATCACTCACAGATTTGGAGGCTGCATATTTGAGCTCAGCATGGTCAGGTGAGGGCCCTCTTCCAGGAGGCAAGCTTCTCACTGGGCCCCTGAGTGTCAGAAGGGGCTGTGGAGCTCTGTGGGGTCTCTTTCTTTGGAGAGATCCTGTTCTTGAAGGCTCTAACCTCATGACTCAAGCACCTTCCAAAGGCCCAGTTTCTAGTCCATCACCTTTGGGAGGTTCAGTTCAGTTCAGTTCAGTCGCTCAGTCATGTCCAACTCTTTGCAACCCCATGAACCGCAGCACGCCAGGCCTCCCTGTCCATCACCAACTCCCGGAGTTTACCCAAACTCATGTCTATTGAGTCGGTGATGCCATCCAA